CTGCCAATCTCAATTTAAACGATAAAAATATTAATATTAATTAAAATATTAAGATAACCGCAGATATTGGATGTATCCATAAGTTCGTACTGATTTTTAAACAAAATTGAAATGTAATTTATTCTCGTTGAAAACAATTTTAATCTATAATATATTCGCCATTCTGTTTGACAATTATTTGCTCTTTTCCACGTAACTTTATAATTCTCTCTTAAAATTTTTGTGCTTTTCCGGTAAAGAAACATCTGAAGTGATTTTTCACATCTGGAGAAGCGATTTATATTTCCAAAGAAGTTTTATAATGAACGAAACAGATTATAATTAGAGAAGGTAATGTCGGATAAATATGATGAGTAAGGTAAAATATCCCAAAGAAATTCTAACAATTTATGAGTTGAGTTTACAACGACACAGATCTTACGTTATTTTGCTGTATATCGAATAAGGTGAATAATGGCATCTTTCCGATTAACTAATTCGAGAAGCTTTTTGTCAATTTCTGCCTTCAGCATGTTCAATTGGGCACAATATCTGTTCGAATTAATGGTTTGGTTGTTGGATAGTAATTCATAATACACAATTTCCTTCCAGTTTTATAAAATGGAAAGCATGAACGTTGTTTAATGTAAGCCAGGCTTAGAAGATAATAATGAAGGTTCATCTCAATTATTCCACAATCGTTTTTGTCCAGCGTTATTGTAAAACATTTAATTAAAAGAAAATGATTTGATTACATTCCGCGCTTATAAAGTGAATCGTAGATGGATCTACGGTCCATTAAATTTCGCTTCGTCAAATGATAGCGCTCAAACATCAATATTTTTCCCCTATTCTAATTTGATTTGAGTGCCTCGAAACAGTTGATTGACCAACTTTGATTGATCAACTTTATTGTAATGTCCCGAATTATGTCAATCAGAAGCGATTAAATTAATTATTAGTTGGACACTTGTGATTGTTGGCCTACCAGAAGAGCATCTTAGACATCCACTTCTACACAAAATTTCAAAAACCATTTTTGGCACATACGTTCGATTATGGCATCTTTCTTGTACATAGCATATATCTTTTTATGCGTTTACGTTGCATTCTTACTTTTACAGAAGAAAAGAAGCATAATACACCGGAGAAATTCATTACTGCCTTCCATTTTCAAATCGCAATAAAGACAACAAAACTTTTTTAAACACTCACTTATATTACAAAACATATTCTGAAACGTCAGTTATCAAAATATATAGATTATCAGTTATATATCGAATATATCGAATTATTAAAATATATATATAGATAGCTAACTGTGTACAATTATTGTCTTAATACACGCACAACATGCGGATACTAACTACATAAAAATCTGCATGAACTTATAAATCAACCCAATATTTGCATCTCACATATTAATTGAGCATTGTTTTTATAAGTATATCAATCTGTCAGATTAATATTTACATAATGCTAATAGTGTTTTTTTTTTATAAAATTTCTTTAAAAACTTTGCTGCAAAATGGTTCGTTACTTCGGTCATTGGTGCAGATGAAATTGTTGATATTATTCTTGTATTTAGTGAAAATGAATATAATTACAATAGATTTGAAAGATTATTTCATAATAGATATTTTAATGCAATGGAGGTAAGAAAAATAGAACTATGAAAGCGTTGAAGGATCTACTGGTACACCGTGGGCAAAAATATATTGAAGATGAAGTTAATAGTTTTATGCCTCTTGAAGATAATTGTTTTTTGAAAATGATTTATAAAGCTGTTATTGCCTCTCCAATATAAGTCCAACATAAGTCAATACAAGTTTTGTAAAGAAAATATTTTTGTAAGATGCTTTTTATTTTGCAAGATTTTATAAGATTTTTTTTTCTAGGAACTGATAAATAAAATCTCATTTATCAATTGGAAAGTTGTTTATTGAGATAGAAGAGATTCAAGGATGTCTATTCCTATGAATATAAAAGGCTTCTGAAAAAATTTTTTTTAAATATATAATAAAAAATAGAGATGTTTCTATTTAAAGAATTAAAGTTACAATTATTCCTTGGATGGGATGATTTTTCAGAAAATGCATATTACGCCATATTTTTGTCCACTCGGAACCCTTCAATTTTCGTTTTAAATCTTTTTTTCAAAGATATTTTGTTTCTAAAAGAATTCAGTATACTGAATAGTATATTAAAATAAAACAACGTGCAATCACGCATACGTGCATGTGTATATGCATATGTAAATACGTATATACATATATATATATATATATATATGTATATGTATACAGGATGTCTCTGAATGGTCTGTACAAACTTTCAGGATAAGGACTAAAACAAGCAAAAGATATCATAAGAACATGGGGTCGAAAACGCTTACTTATAAAGTTATGACGATTCGAAATTTTCCTGCAGTAGAAGAAAAATTACGACAATTCAAAGAACCGTCTTAAGAAAAATTTTCTCTCTTCAGCATCAGATTCGAACAGTTCTCGAACTGTTCTTGGAGCCATTGTTGACTGTTATGGGCCTGAATTGCCCAATTTCTCATAATCGCCGATTAATTGCTGAACATTTGATGATTTGGAGTTCGACGGTCTGGAAAAGTTTGGAAAAGTTCTTCTTCTGGAGATATTTGAAAACTCTTGTTTATTCTGCCCCAGTACCAGATGTTGCAACTCTTCATCAGCGGATCCTGGATGGCTGCGACATCATCCGTAATATACCTGGTATTTTCCAACGGGTTCGCCAATCAATGCGGCGACGTGCACAGGCTTCCTTGGAATCTAACGGAGGCTATTTTGGGCATTTGCTATAGCAAGTGTATAGCAAGTGTTTTGTTATATCCGTAGAAATAAATAAATACAGTTTGCAACTCCTATACGATTTAACGTTATAATTTCTTTTACTGCAGGAAAACTTCAAACCGTTATAACTCTGGAAAGAAGCGTTTCCGACCCCAGGTTTATATGACATTTTCTGCTTGTTTTGGTCCCTGGAAATATGTTCCAGAAAGTTTGTACAGACCATTCAGAAACACCCTATATATGTGTATATATATATAGGGTGCTCATTTGAAAACTTTCCAGCTAATTATCTCGGAAACCATGAAAGATATTAAAAAAAGCTAAAACACGTGTTCTATGATTTCGAAGGGGAAAGAGAATGGCATTATCAGTTTTTTTATTTGGAGGGCATTTTCAAAGTCGGTTGAAAGTCAACTTAATTTTTTAAAATAGAAAGCCTAATTTTTTTATTATATCTTCTTTTTCTATCAATTAATTTTAACAACTTTTGTCTGAAACATTCTTTTATTTGACTAATATTTTTTGAAATATTTAAGAAAAACTTGGTATCTTTTTCAACATTTAACTTACGATATCTCGCTAACTATTCGCCGAAAGAAAAAATAGTATTAGACTTTTTTACTTTATTTACTATCAAGAATATATTACTATAATAGTGCCCTAACTTTTGTTAATTTAATAATTTTGAAATTTCCAAAGGTCGATAAGATTAAAATGGACCACTCTGTATATATATGCATATGTCATACATATACACATATGTATATATATAACATATGTACATAATCATAAACGTAAACCACAATTCATGATATCTTTAAAAATTCTTATATAATTTTATCCTGAACTTTCAAATAACAGGAGAACGCCGAGATTATTTGACTTCGATCTTCGAGTGATTGATCGAAAGCTTCTCGTGAAAATTTGGTCAAAAATTCGCGTTTTTTTAAATGCTGTCTTATATAATGCTTCTTACATCTTATCATTAGGTATACAATCTTCTTCAAAACAATAAAATTATTTATTAAAACTATACTTTTGTTAAAATCCAATCTTAACACATATCATAGAATAAGGAAAGAAATTTTAATCAGGCGTATTAATTATTTCGAAGCAATTGACCATGATGTTTTTTATGTAGATAATAACTATCGAACGTAAACCAGAATATTGGAGTCAAAGTGTTCTCCGCTTTCTTCGGCGTTTTATTTTTACTAAAGTACGGACGGATTCCTATATCGCGTATTTATGGCGCACGATAATAGGAATCAAGAGACATTACAATTTATGTTCGAGACTGTACAGATTGCATCGACGTCATTAGATGTGCGGTCGGTTGTTTCTGTTTTTATGTTATATTGGCGCATAAGCGGTTAGAGAATCTTGGCCTAACCAATTGCAAACGATCGATATCTTCTTTTTCTTCCTTTCTTTCTTTTTCGTTTGATTAGAGCATTCGTAGAGTAATAATCAGTGATTTGCATTTCTGTTAACGGTTTTTATGTTACATTGAATTGTTATTTTGTGTGTCACGTGATGCGTATTTTCTAATGTAGCATGCTTTTCTTAACGAACAAATAAAAAAAAATGTCTCGAGAATATGAACGGCGATGAGACAATTTGTGAGAAATATGACACTCTCATTCAAATTATCCGCGCTAAGATCTGAGTACGAGCAAAGACTCTTGCTCGATGTATGCTTATCGTTAACAAAGACCGCAGCCCTTTAACTAGTTGCTTCAAGTACGAATTCCTTGCAACGTTTTTTAAGAAGGATATAAATATATAACCTTTTCGGAATTATATAAAATAAAAGTTTGTTGGAAAATTCGCGATTTCGCGAATGTAACTTAATTGGTTAAAGGGCTGAAAAGATTTAGAGAATGCTCCGCGGAATTCAATGTATCAATGTTTTCGGATAATGAATAATGGATAACCCACCGGATCTTAGTGACGGATCCCGTCACGTAGTTTATTCAGTTCTCCTAAACCTACAGCAACAGAAACAATAATAGAAACAGTGTATTCGACGAGTTATATCGTACGCGTTTTCGTGGAACACTCGCTTATTTGCTGTACACTACGCAACTGGAGCTTTGGATAACGAAAGAAGTTTTTAAACCCAAAAAAGAAGTATGAAAATCATTCCGACGAGCTTGATTCAACGCAAGAGTAAAACTCTGTTGTTGTTGTTGGCAGTTCCTGAATATGGCGTCGGTGTTCATGCGGATTTTTAACCTGATCTGTATGATGCTTCTAATCGGCCATTGGAGTGGCTGTCTGCAATTCTTAGTACCTATGCTTCAAGGATTTCCCAGTAATTCATGGGTGGCCATTAACGAGTTACAAGTAAGTAATTGGCATTATCAGTTGGATACATTATATATACATATACATATACTATATTATATATACATTATATATAATATCGTATTAATATAGAATATAATTTAAAATCGCAAAACGACAACGTCTCTTAACTTCTTCAATATTTATGTGTGATTAATATTCTCAAATCTTTCAAAATCATTTAAACTCATATCTTTTGATACACATCCATACAAAGTAGCTGACATGTACGTCCGTTGACATGCAGGTAGAACTCATTTAAGAATCCACACATTCTACCTTATAACATGTATTCCTTTTTTTAACTAATATCTGGAAAATTATGTTAAGTGAAATAATAAATAACCGTATTATTTAATTTGATGACTTCTTACTTCTATGCAAACGGATTAATAAAGTCGGAAAATAAGAGTGCAAAACACTGTAGTAGGGTAGAACAGTTATTTGGAACATTCGGGCCACAATCTTCCTGAAACTTGTAGTCATCAAAGCCTTTATTCCCTTTTTCCCAAATGTCGTCAATAGCCATCAAGATTGGCTAATCGTTCACTAAGAGGCGTGTCATAATCATAAATAAAGTAATTTTCTGGGTCAGTATCGTTCATTTCATCGTCTATAGATATATCATCATTCGATGATCTTAAATTTTCATGTGACTCAGGATCATTTTCAGAACCATTTTCAGTATTATTGAATCCATCGTCAGATTTATTATCGCTTGGAATTTTTAATTCCATAGTGACTTTTTTTTTTTGAATACCCGAAGGAACAAAGAAAATTTATATAATTTTTTCTGTTGACGTGAATCCAAAAAAAAAATTTATGCAAAAAAATTTAATAATTTCAAAGAATTTGAAAATTGGAAGTGTACAAAACAGCGAAAAATAGAGTCACAAAATAAATAATATAAATAAGTAAATAATAAAATAAATAATATGAAGACTGATGTCGATATGCGAAGAATCAAAAGCTCGTGCTCACAAAATCCTGCTGAAACCTATTAACAATCCAGGGAATTCACAAAACCCAAAGTATCTGAAAAATCACATATGATCGAACCTGTACTTATGCACCGGCCGGATATATTTTGGTAGAGTGTTTGTAATTCCCATCCGTAAAAGACTTACCTTATTTAAAATAAGGTTAAAAAAGCGCCAAGTGCACGCGACTCGTATAAATAACCTTTTTTAAAAAAAATTCTACAAAAAATGTATTTTCTACAAAATATCTGATATCAAATAAGTTAAGCCAAGTTAAGCTAATATATATCTAAAAAACAAAAATATATTATAATAAATAAATAAAAAAAAATATATAATTATTAAAAAATAATATATTTTAAAAATAACAAAAATAAAAAATATAAATATAATAAAAAATTATACTTTAACCATTTTAAAAACAAAATAAAAAAATTTAATAATAAAAACGTATTTTATATAAAATATCTGATATCAAATAAGTTAAGCCAAGTGCTAAAATATATATACAATGAAAAAAATATATATTTTAACCTTTTTAAAAAACAAAATAAAAAATTCTATAAAATATAAAAATATTTTTCTTATTATTTAATTATAATTTTATTTAATTATAATTTATTTTTACAATTCTATAAAAAGTCAATAATATATTATAATAACTAATCCAAAAGAAATAAAATTAATTAAACAATATTATATTTATAAAATAACAAATAATGAAAATATAATATAAATATAATAAAAAAATTAATTAAAAATTAAAATAATAAATTTAAAATATTAAATATACATTTTCGGCAATTTTAAAACTTTTTAAATAATAACAAAATAGTAATAACAATAATAATAACAATAATAACAGAAAGTTACAATAGATAATAAAATTGAGAACTACAAGAAAGCACTTGGCGCGCCCGAAAAATAAACGTCCGGAAGGAACAGGATCGCTGATATCGAATGTAAAGACTTTTAGAATTCAAATAAACGATTCAATATGGCGGATCAATTACTCAAAAATTTTGATTTCTCGATGGAATCTTTTCATATTTAAAATATTCATTTTCTTTTAGATTGTTAACAACAAACAAATCGGCATTCGAAATAGCAGATTAATGGATAATGATAGCAACTTTAATTTAAAAATTAGTAATCTCTTTTTTACCTGTAAATAACGACGGAGACGTAGCGAGTATTATTTCTGTTTTTTTTTTAAGTTCATTTTTTTATTTTTTAGCATTTATTAAAAAAAATTATATCTTTTTATATTTATACAGGGTGTCCGGTAATTAGTTGCCAACCCTAAGTGTGAAGGTAGATTGGGTTAAGACAAACATAAAAGTCCCATACCGTTTTGCGCTATTCGCAATAATTATCAAGTTATTAATCCTTTAAAGCATATATTTTTCCCCACGCGCAATTTTTGCCGAACTCCCCTATAAAGGGGTTTTCAATCTGCTGAATACGAATCTGAGATCGGAAATTAGAATTTTTCAAAATTCACGATGGTGGGTCGAAATGCTCAAAATTAGACTGATCTACGTGAAATTGTGTATCCGAAGGTTTTTGTGTTCACTGATTATGAATCTGAAATCGAAATCGAGAAATTCAAGATGGCGGATTCAATATGGCGGATCAAATTGTGAAAATTAGATTGATTCGCATCAAATTGTGTATCAGAGGATTTCTGGGGCTGCTGATTACGAATCTGAAGTCGAAATTAAGAAACTCAAGATCATTATCTTTTATTAAATTATGTATTCGGGGGTTTTTGGTGTCGCTAATTTTGCGACTTAGTTCAAAATAACGAAACTCTGAATCGCGGAATGAAAAGTCAAAAGCCGAATTGGCCGAATTTTGAAACATGAATGGGAATAAGATTCCTTTGTTACTAAAGTGATCATACGCTCATTTATATTTGCCCTGTTCACATTTATTGTTATAAGTTATGAAGACAATGTAATAAGAACACCATACAATCTTATGAACGCTTTATAAACTAATTTTACTATATAAATAATAAATATACAGTTCAATACTAGCGCGACCAACGAGAGTCAAATATTCGACCCCGAAAACCTTCGGATACAGTTTGATCTGAATCGGTCTAATTTTCACGATTTCGATCCGCCATATTGCGTCCGTCATCTTGAATTTTGGAAAACTTACAATTCTGATCTTATATTCGTAATCATCGGCTTCGAAAACCCCTGGAAAATAAATTTGACATCAGGTTGTCTAAAAAGTATTGAGCCTTTGGAGATCAAAATTGAGAATATATTTATCGTTATTTGAAAATAATATTATGAAACCACATATGCACCATTTTGTTCGATGACCTTCTGCCATTTTTCCTGTAATACCATAATCCCGTCGCTATAGAACTTCTGTGGTTTCTGATCAAAAAATTGTGACACGTGGTTTTCACAGGCCTCTTTTGAAACTAACTTAACACCATTCAAGGAGTTCTGCAGAGACCGAAACAAAGGATAGTCTGATGGCGCCAGATCCGGGCTACACGATGGATGCATTAAAACCTCTTAGCCAAGTTCTCTCAATTTCTGACGAGTCGTTAAAGATGTATACGGACTGGCGTTGTCAGCGTGGTATACGACACCCTTTCTGTTGACCAGCTCCGACCGTTTCTTTTGAATTGCTAGATGCAATCGCGCTAACTGTCGACAGTACAGGTCCGAGTCTATCGTTCTGCCTGGCGGCAGCAGTTCATGATACACGATACCTTTCCAATCCCACCAAACACACAGCATAACCTTCCTGGGCGTCATCAGTGTGGGCTCTGCCACAGACTGTGGAGCTTCTCCTCGCTTCGACCACGATCTTTTTCGCACATTGTTGTCGTAGGTTATCCACTTTTCATCACTCGTGATCAACCGCTTCAGAAATGGCTCGATTTCGTTACGTTTCAGAGATTTGCAGATAGAAATTCGATCGAGTAAATTTTTTCGAGTCAGATCATGTGACACTGAAACATCGAGTTTCTTTTTGTAGCCAGCTTTCTCGAGATGGTTTAACACTGTTTGGTAATGGATGTTTAGGTCATTGGCGATGTCATAACTGCTTACATGCTGGTCTTGCTCGACTTTTGCCAGAATATCATCCACTTTTTCTGTGATTGGTCGCCCACTGCGTGGAGCATCTTAGACATCGAAATTTCCAGAACGAAAGCGACTAAACCATCTTTTGGCTGTTGCTTTCGATAACGTATCCTGCCCATAAACAGCACAAATTTCTTCACGGGTCTGCGCAGCATTTGCGCCTTTATTGAAAGAAAATTGTAAAATGTAGCGCAGTTTTGCGGAAAGTTCACTCATCTTCACGGCGCAGTACCTTACGTCTAATTATAAGAATTCCAACACTTTTTGTACATCTACTAGCTTCAACTGTCAGCTGTCAAATGACATTAGGCCTGACCCGCTGCGACTCATATACCCTGAGATTTGGGACACTAACGCTATCTCGTGCGCAAAAAGCTCGCGCAAAAACTTTTTAAATAACCTGATATTATCAGAGCGAAATTTTTTAGTTACAATAGATTTTTTGCAATCTATGTTTTTTCAAAATTGGAGCCGCCTTAGTTTTGAGAACAAGTTTTGAGAATTTTGAAATTTCGACTTCATTTTCGAAATCAGCGATGTCCAAAACCTTATAGATTGTGGAAGTCACTGCAGTCACTCAAGCAAAAACACGGCCCAATCGATGTAGGAACTGTTGCCGGCGCGCGGCGAGAGGAAGAACAATACGTCGCTATTCAGCTATGCACTAGTCTTATTCCGCCGCTCCTAGGTTTCGCTGCATAATAATTCGACAATTATTGCGAATATCACAAAACGGTATGGAAAAACTTTTGTTCCTCTTAATCCGTTCTACGCCACCAAGGGCTCTGATACCGTTGTTCTAGAACACCTTGTATAACAGTTACATTGTTGAGAAAATAAGGAAAATTACAATTAACAGGTACATTACATATTACATATTGTTACAGATACATTACATATTATATATTATGTTTACTGGATAAAGATTAAAAAAAAACTGTAACTTGTTCATTAATGTTTTTTGAGTTCAATTGTATGCGCAATGTCAATAATATACCGCCTCTATTGCTGTTACTTCCCTATTATTTCTAGTTATTTTTAAGGCCTTACAATAATAGCATACTTATATTTTTATATATGTATATATATATATATATATATATATATATATATATATCAGCAAACTACGTCTTTTAATATTGATATTATGTTTTTCATTCTTGTTGTGTTTATAACTTTTTAATAACTAATGATAAACGAGTAAAACTTTTTGAATGCTGTTTAATAACAATAATCTTAATAATAAGTGCCTTAATAATAAGTATCTTAATAATAATAAGTCAAGGTCAAGATCATTAAAGTTGAGTTTAATAATGAAAGTAGTTATTGACGAATTTTTAAAAAGCAAGATTAAAGGAAACGGCAAAAACACAAAATTGACTAACATGGTCAAATGTTTTTCTAACAAAATCGACAATCAATGATTAACACTTTTGAATGCATTTTCATGACGATATGCTTGCAGGATTCGTTTTGGCTGGAACAATATTCATGGGCTCTTTTCAAAGCCATGTCGCACATGTTGTGTATCGGATATGGTAGATTCCCGCCGCAATCCTTGACCGACATGTGGTTGACTATGCTCAGCATGATCAGTGGTGCAACATGTTACGCTCTTTTCCTCGGACACGCGACAAATCTCATTCAATCTCTCGACTCCTCGAGAAGACAATATCGCGAGAAGGTATAACGACACAAACTGAATTCGTTTGGATTCGGGCGAAATTAAATTCTCTTCCGTTTTAATTTTTGATTGCAGGTAAAACAAGTGGAAGAATACATGGCCTATCGAAAACTACCGAGGGAAATGAGACAAAGGATCACAGAATACTTCGAGCACCGCTACCAAGGAAAGTTTTTTGACGAGGAATTAATCCTTGGAGAGCTTTCGGAAAAATTAAGAGAAGTATGATATTATATTAATCAGGTTAAAGTTGTACAAATTGTTTTACTACTATAATGAGATAATTTTTGAAAAGTAGTATTGAAGAATTTATATCAGGTTGGCAACAAAAGTCATGTTGTTTCTCACGGATAGATGGCTTTACTTGTCATTAAACGCACTTAATTTCACTCCAAATCCTATAATTTTTATATCATTTGATAACTGACATTTCAAGCTTACTTAGAAATAAAAAGAAAGGGCGTCATTCGGTAAAAAAATTGTTTGTTTGGCATTGAGTTAAAAATGCAAAATCAAAACTAGTATTTCCGTCATATTTTACGTTTTTACTTCTAAAAAGAAAAAACGCTGTGCTAGCCCGTCAAAAGTTATGTGCTGTGTATAGTGAAAATTCCTTAACAAAATATCAGCGTTGGTTTGCTCGATTTTTCTGTGAAAGATGCACCACGATCCGACCGGCCAGTTGAGATCGATGACGAAAAATAAAAATATTGCTTAAATCCAACCGCCATTATATGGTACGACACGGGAGATCGCTGAGAAGCCAAACATATCACATACGAGCATTTAAAACAACTTGGATACGTTAATAAACTCGCTATTTGGGTTACAAATGGGCTCAAAGAAATTTATCTCACTAAACGCATCAATGTCAGCGATTGTCTCCTGAAACGTGAGCAAAATCCGTTTTTGAAACAAATGTTAACTAGTGATGAAAAATGAATTGTTTACGACAATGTGGAACGAAAAAGATCGTAGAGCAAACGTGATGGGCCGCCACAAAACACTTCTAAAGCAGACATTCACCAAAGAAAGATTTTGCTATCTGCTTGGTGGGATTACAAGAGTATTGTGTTTTTTGAACTGCTTAAATGTTGTTACGTCCTGGAGGAGGAGCGTAACGTGTACTTGCGCTTGTGAGTCCCGCACGTACTTGCGTGTGCGCGATACAGATCAGGGACCAGAAGGGTCCGTTTAGTCCGATCGCGATGTACGGCGGGTGGTCCACTTTTAGATCAGAGAACTAAATCTCTTTATCTGGGATTGGACCGCGAGTTGATAGTTGGAATCGGGGAACGAATTAGAAAGGAGGAAACGTGATTTGAATTATAAAAATAAATTAATAATATAAATTATAAAAAATCGACGGCACATTTTATTGTAGTAGATCTAAGAGCAAATTTAAATTGCTTTAACAAATATTGTCAGCACGTGGTTTTGTACAACGTGATTTCGCGTAGTTAGTATATAATTATGCATATTATGCCAGACGGTCGGCAGCGTATATGTTATAGAACTGTTGTGCGCAAATATTTTGAAGGGAGAAAAAGGGAAAGGTAAACGAATAATATCTAATCTGGTGAGGAGGGATAAGAACGGATAAATCATAAAATATTTGTCTAAAGGGTTGTTATATATCTTTAATAATTATGTAGTTATCAAAAATGAGATAAAACTTTAAGAGCGATTTCATTTCTTATCTTTATGTCTTAATAGATAAAAGTACATACTTGTTAATTTTGAGCGCTATACGAGTGATATACGAGTACATGAAATTTCATTGATATCGAACACAGACACTTCATGAATGTTCTTTTTAAGTATACAATGAATTATGCCTCTTTCTAGGATGTGATCAATTACAACTGCAGATCACTAGTAGCATCTGTGCCCTTCTTCGCTAACGCCGATTCCAATTTTGTTTCGGATGTCGTCACAAAACTCAGATACGAAGTCTTCCAGCCAGGTAATCGCTATCATTACAAAAGTCTCTTTGTACGTTCTGTATTCAATATTCTGTATTGCATATTTATACATTGGTGCTATATTTCATATGATGAATATAGCGTAAACATGTTTATTTTTGCACGAACATCCCACATAGCATTAGATCTCCAAAGTATATCCCAATTTGATCAAACTGATTCTATTATGATCCAAATGAAAAAGTTATTTATAGGAGTATTTGAGGACATGTGCATTAACCGCAAATTACACAAAATATCCGCATAACATCCGTAGGATGTTCTAGTGTGTTAATTGATGTTTACTGAGGAACGGCGATATACTGTTTCTTTTGTGGTACAACATTTATTTAATACTGTGATCCATTCACATACAATAATTAGTTTTTGTTTTTATTAATTAGGTATTTAACATGTATTGTTTATGTCTGAACAATTGATATCCAGAAAACACAAAGAATACAAAAAGAAGTTAGTCTATATTTTATTTATATCTTATAAACTTCTATAATAACGTGTAATACTTAGATAGATCATTTAATATCTTATTAGTCTAATATTTACTAAATATTTTTATGATATGTTTTTTTATTTTAAGAAATGGACTATATATTGTATAATAGTTGTATATATTGTAGAACATATGATACATCTTATTCGTTATATGCAACACAAACAAACATTGTATTGCACGTTTTTTCTTCAAATAATAACAAGTAAACTTTTTTATGCATACAGATACACGCACATATTGTTATTATATTATCCAGTACATATTTTATATATTACATTTCACAACAGTGTGGGCATTTTGTTCTTGGTCTTTTGGAACGCAGCCGATGATTTAGCATAAGAACACGTTTCGGAAAAAGTACTTTTCTCATTGAATGATAGGCTGCATTTTGAACTGCATCGAAACATATGTTCAAACCGTTATAAAATTTATTTCTCTGGCCCGATTGTTTTAACCGAAATATAAGTTGACAAACAGTTAAATCATATATCTGTCCCTGTTTATTTCGAACAAAAAACAAAGATAGGCATACGATTTAATTGTTAGTCAACTTACCTTTCAGTTGGAACAACCGGGCCTATTTCAGCATTGTAAGGATGACTTCAGGATATATAAAATTCATCGCGATATATCTTGTGAATGTGCTTAGCACTACTTTTGTTATTTTTGGAAGATATCTTACGGATATTACATCTACACATAGGATCACATATTGTTATATGTACATATCCTCATGACATCCACGTATCACTTCCTCTGGATGTTTAATGACCGGACATAAAGACGTTCTCGGTACATCCTATGTATATATTTCGGCCTTTTATTCGGAATGTATTCTGGATATATAATTCTAAATCCTTTGTGATGTATCTATTGGACGTACCTAGGATCAAGTTTTGCTGAGGATGACATATATCGATCGTTGGTTGAAAGAACTGCAGTATGCGTGGTTCCATTATTCAATTCGTTATGACCATCGCATTACTCTGAAATATAAACATATCTCTAGTTTGAGATCAGGTTGTACTTTTCAGTCGATTTTTCTGACTATTTGCCCTATTTCTCTCATTTCGTTGTATCTAATCTGCTAATACTCGTGAAAACGTAAAATGTTTAGGGATGATATTAACTAACAATTTTATGGGGTTTTGCCGCATGTTGCTTGGCGCGCTTTGTGTTTACTATTTACAAAGTGAATATTATCCCATTAACGCCCAAGCGAATCTATTTTGAACATAATTTTCAGCGACTTTATTTACAACGTTAAAGGTCTTTCAAAAAATTGAAAAATATCATTTCTTACGTAAAATTTGATGCTCCTTCTGAACTCATCATCAGAATTCGTGTAAAATGAAGTCTGAAAAAGCTATGGCAGCTTCTAAGTTAAAAAATGTGAAAAAGTCGAAAACAATTTTTTTCAATATATTTTTTCACATCGATATAGTATGAAACTCCAACTTTTTCCACAACCATCGGTTTACAAAATAGTTGTACTTTAAGGGTATATTTTTTTAATTTATCAAAATTGTCATTTCTATTTAAAAATGGCGACAAAATCGCACAAATGTACGATTTGTCATAATTTTTCCACAATTATTCGTAAATTTCGGATTCGGTAACGACTTATTATCATTAAAAATAATGAGATTGATATTCGCAATTGATTTTCGATCAAATACACAATTTTCAATATGGCGGATTCAATATTGGGACCAAAAAGGTGTGAAAATTGTCGATTTTTCTATATTTTTCCTAAATCTTTCTATGAATTATTCTCATAACCGTTTTACGCACAAACTATTAATATAATATATATTATCATATATATATTATTATGAATTAATTTATTGGTATATATCAATAGACATAAATTTGTAAATTTATAAGGCAGTAAAATCAAAATAAAAAAAAAAGTAGAAATTTTTGGCTTAATTAAAATTAAAATTCATTGCTGTTATACAGGGTGTCTCAGAACTTTGGGACACGGGCTCTGTAGGGATATAGAGCTAAGTGAGAGGAACAAAAAAGTCCTGTGCCATTATATGAAAATCGTAATAATTTTTTAATTATAACAGCGCAAAGTTTGGCGTTTTCTACGCCCAGCGCGGCCTGTAGACGCTCCGCGGTAAGCTGTGTACGTAGGGGCTAAGTGATAACGCGGCTCGCGCTGACTGTCGCGATGGCGTCTTGGCGCTTTGACAAAAGTTCTGAGACACCCTGTATACAGGGTGTCTTGTAACAAATCTTGCAGCGCTCGTGGAGACATAGAGCGGGTTAAGACAAATATAAAAGTCCCATACCGTTTTGTGAGATTCGCAATAATTATCGAGTAATCAATGACAGAAATCTGAGGAACGAGCGCGCGCCGAGACGTTATGGGAGGAGCATCTAGCCGCTCAGGCTAGACAAAGGACCCAGTCGACAAAGGAACTCTTGCCGACGCGCGGCGAGCGGTGAGAGAAAGGACAACGCGCTAATGCTCATGTTCTTACCTCGCCGCTCCTTACGTCCTCTTACGTCCCGCCGCACCGCATCTAACCTCGCGCCGATATGGCCGCTGAATATTCGCGATTACAATTCCGAGATTATTTTATGAGGTACCGCAGATAGCTCATATTGAATTGTAAAGTTCTTTGATCAGGGAAAACATGGAAAAGGAGAAAGCGATAGAGAGCGATGAGATCTACAGAGATTCTCATTGTTTTCTATCGCAATCTATCGTTTCGCTGCATCGGATTCGAAAGAAATAATATCGCGTAAAGATAAAGTACGATGAACACTTTTCATCGTACTCTATTGTACTCTATCGTTAGGAGAATATTTAATTATTAGAGTATGACAGAATTCGCGTAGAGACTCATCTTATCCTATCGTTTTATTCAAGTCTACACGGAAAAAAATGTTTGGTTGAATGAACCAATTTTTTGACGAAATGAGAGAGAGAGAGAGAGAGAGAGAGAGAGAGAGAGAGAGAGAGAGAGAGAGAGAGAGAGAGAGAGAACGATTAAACAATTTTGATTGAGAATAGTACAATTTTATTTATGTTAACCATAAACCTCGATGAATTAGACTGAGTGTTAATATTTTCAGTTAATATTTCTCTGTATCGTTCATATTTCATTTGCAAGCTGTATCATGGACCAAACATTTGTATCATGTGTCATGCATATATTGTTGTCGTATATCGTAATTGTTGTCAATTATGGTATATTAACGATAGAAGAAACTGAAAGTTCTTTATCGTATAATTGCGAAAAGAGGACCATCGTTGTCAATGGTGCACCAACGATACTCGGCATAAAATTGATTCCTAGGTATGATCGTGTTACAGCGCAAATCCGAGTGTGTTATTTTGACACGCATAAATATGTGATTGATTGACGCTTTCTTTACACGTTTCTTGCCGTTGAATCGTGCACTGCAAGAAATTATGTATTAAATTTAACATATTTCATGTGTCTCAAATCATCCACTCTCATTTATGTGTTAATTTAACGTACAGCAAATATGTTAAAAAATAACATACATAATATGTAAAAAATTAACACAAAAATTTAACATTTGGATGCAGTCAAGAATCACAGTTTGTATTAAATTGACATACAATGAATGTTATTTCAACATTTGGGAAAAGTAATGATCTAGGATTTAATGGAATGAAAATGTTAGATTGACATAATCTATGTGTTAAAAGTCCAATCTTCACATACGAGAAATGTTAATATTATACTTTGAACACATGATAACTGTTATAATGAGGAAAGTAACACATTTTAGGTGTTGACTTCAACATATAAAATATGTCATAGTAAAAATTCATGCAATAGTTAATCTTAATTTAACACAAGAAAGTCTAGGTAACATAACAACGATATGTTAAATTAACACACGACTGTTTATAAAATTTAACACAAAACTTTCTACACACAAATAATTTTATCAAAAATACGAAATATTTCTAACTGTGTGTCATTTGATTCATGTAGACATCATTTAACGCGTTTAAACGTGTCAAGTGACACGATCCAACGACGAGGGACGACGTGTAAAGAAAGCTTCAATCAATCACATACTTATGCGTGTCAAAATAATACTGTTGCGCTCACTCTCACACTCGCGCTTTCACACAGGTAAATAAGAACATTCGCGTAAGAATATCAAGCTTTACTATATACAGCGCAACTTTCTCAAACTTCAAACAAGAATAATTCTCTATTTTAATAATTCTGAATTCTCTCGTCTGTCTACGATGACAGCTTGCCGGAGACTCTCTGTCAGCTGTTCTTGTTGTTTACTTCTTATCGATTTTCCGTCGTCAGGACAATCCTCGCTCAGATGTCAAAATCAGCATCGGATGCCTAAGGCTCACGGACAACGGACGCTGCCACAAACCTTGTGGCTCGGATACAACAATACTCTCAGATTTGCAGTGTACAAAGCGCATCATATTCTATCGTAAAGTCCTTAAAGAGTATATGTATCGTACAATGGCAGAAAAACATTTTATAGTTGAATATTTCACTCATCTCCCTAATTTTTTAATAAGATACTTACCGAAGAAGAATATCGAAGAAAGAATCAATCATTAATTCACGATTCCTGAAGTAAAAAATGATACGAAACGACGAAAAAATCCGATGCGGTAAATAATAAACTTCCGAAAGGGCAATTATTTTATTTATTTTATTTTAGGGTAGTACGAAAACTATCATTTCCGCACCACCTTGTGAGGTAGATAGCTCGGCGCGTTTTATTTCTAAGTGGTCTCCCCAGTAGGCCTAATCCACTCTCATTATTTAATTCAATAATTGTTCCAAGTGCCCTCCTTCTGCTTGTGAATAGAGTTCGGCTCTTCGAGTTATTTGTCGCGTCGCACGATGCGCCATGTCCGGCGTGATGGTACGAAAGGTCGCTATAATGGGGCATCGCGTACCTCATCTCTGGTACCATCACGCCTATGCTCGATTTTAGATTTAATATGGTCCCAAACAAAGTAATCGAGCACATTCAAATCTGGCGATCGTGCCGGCCAAGTGATTGGGCTACCTCGATCCATCCACCTGTCCTGTGGGAAACGCTGGTCCAAAAATTCGCGTGTCTCGCGGCAGAAATGCGCAGGAGCTCCGTCATGTTGGAAGATCATTCTCTCTCGAACATGGAGAGGAATGTCTTCCACGAGAACAGGTAACTCCTGTTCAATAAATTGTGCGTACGTCTGACGTCCGTTGAGACGCGGCGGAAAGAAGAATGGGTCTATCTGAAAATGGACAATGGTAATTTTAGGAAAGAAGTTTAGGAGATCAGCGGGAGAAAAGATGTCTTGAGAAGAATATTTACCACTTGGTTTCCAATTATTCCTGCCCACACATTGATGGACCATCGATACTGGAAGGTGCGCTGCTGAATAGCCTGCGGATTTTCCTCTTGCCAAAGTAGGGAATTTCGAGAATTGAACACACTATTCGGCGTGAAAGTAGCCTCGTCTGTCCACATGATATAATCGGGAAACGTTATATTTCGCCGACATTGTGCGAGGTACCCTGTGCGTGTTTTGTTCAAAATTATTATGTGTGACAAAATCAAAATGTTGTAAATATCAGAAAAGATTATGAAAATACCTTCGCAAAATTCGACGCGCTGTCTTTTATCCCTTGGCAAAAGATGTTGCACTCGTCGTCGTAATATTCTTGACTGTTTGTTTAATTCTGCTAAGAAAGCACAAAAGAATAAAAACAGATAAAATAAAA